TGGAACCTGCAAAGTGGAAAGAAAACTACAGATGCAACAAGGTGGAAAATTTAGGTGTTGAACCATAATGAAAGCTGGGCTCATCCGGGATTTGAACCCGGGACCTCTCGCACCCTAAGCGAGAATCATACCCCTAGACCAAAGAGCCATGGAATGTGGGTTTTATTTGGTGTGCCAAATGGAAACAAAACTACAGATGCAAAACACATGGAGAATATAGGTGTTGAACCATAATTAAAGCTGGGTATTTCCAGAATTTGAACCCGGGACCTCTCGCACCCAAAGCAAGAATCATACTACTTGCCATGGTGCTTGGGTTTTGTTTGGTGTGCAATGTGGAACCAAAACTACAGATGTAACAGGTGTGGAAAATTTAACCATAGTTAAAGCTGGGCTCGTCCGTGATTTGAACCCGAGACCTCTCGCACCCGAAGCAAGAAGCCATAACCCTTGACAAACGAGCCATGGTGTCTGGGTTTTATTTGGTGTGCCAAATGGAAACAAAATTACAGATGCAACAATGTTGGAAAATTTAGTTGTTGAACCATTATGATAGCTGGGCTCGTCCGGGATTTGAACCCGGGACCTCTCGCACCCGAAGCGAGAATCATACCCCTAAATCAACGCGCCATGGAATGTTGGTTTTATTTGGTGTGCAAAGTGGAAAGAAAACTACAGATGCAACAATGGTGGAAAATTTAGGTGTAGAACCTTAATTAAAGCTGGGCTCCTCCAGGATTTGAACCCAGGACCTCTCGCACCCAAAGCAAGAAGCCATAACCCTTGACAAACGAGCCATGGTGTCTGGGTTTTATTTGGTGTGACAAATGGAAACAAAACTACAGATGCAAAACACATGGAAAATATAGGTGTTGAACCATAATGAAAGCTGGGCTCGTCCGGGATTTGAACCCAGGACCTCTCACACCCAAAGCGAGAATCATTCCCCTAGACCAACGAGCCTTTGAACCTTTGTTTTATTTGGTGTGCCAAATGGAAACAAAACTACAGATGCAACAATGTTGGAAAATTTAGTTGTTGAACCATAATGAAAGCTGGGCTCGTCCGGGACTTGAACCCAGGACCTCTCGCACCCGAAGCGAGAATCATACCCCTAGACCAACGAGCCATGGAATGTCAGATTTATTTGGTGTGCAAAGTGGAAAGAAAACTACAGATGCAACAAGGGTTGAAAATTTAGGTGTTGAACCATAATAAAAGCTGGGCTCGTCCAGGATTTGAACCCGGGACCTCTCGCATTCAAAGTGAGAATCATACCCCTAGACCAACGAGCCATGAAACATTGGTTTTATTTAGTGTGCAAAGTGAAAACAAAACTAAAGAGGCAACAAGGGTGGAAAATTTAGGTGTTGAACCATAATGAAAGCTGGGCTCGTCCTGGATTTGAACCCGAGACCTTTCGCACCCGAAGCAAAAATCATACCCTTAGACCAACGAGCTATGGAACAACGATTTTCTTTGGTGTGCAAAGTGGAAACAAAACTAGAGATGCAACAAAGTTGGAAAATTTAGGTGTTGAACCATAATTTAAGCTGGACACTTCCAGGATTTGAACCCGGGACCTCTCGCACCCGAAGCAAGAATGATACCACTTGCCATGGTGCGTGGGTTTTGTTTGGTGTGCAATGTGGAAACAAAACTACAGATGCAACAGATGTGGAAAATTTAACAATAGATAAAGCTAGGCTCATCCTGGATTTGAACCTGGGACCTCTCACACCCAAAGCGAGAATCATACCCCTAGACCAACGAGCCATGGAACATTGGTTTCATTTGGTGTCCAAAGTGGAAACAAAATTACAGATGCAGCAAGAGTGGAAAATTTAGGTGTTGAACCATGATTAAAGCTGGGCTCTTCCAGGATTTGAACCATGGACCTCCCGCACCCAAATCGAGAATCATACCCCTTGACAATTTATTTGGTGTGCCAAATGGAAACAAAACAACAGATGAAAAACCCATGGAAAATATAGGTGTTAAACCACAATTAAAGCTGCGTTCGTCCAGGATTTGAACCCGCGACCTCTCGCACCCTAAGCGAGAATCATACCCCTAGACCAACAAGCCATGGAATGTGGGGTTTTATTTGGTGTGCCAAATGGAAACAAAACTACAGATGCAAAACATATGGAAAATATAGGTATTGCATCATTATTAAAGCTGGGCTCGTCCGGGATTTGAACCCGGGACCTCTCGCACCCTAAGCGAGAATCATACCCCTAGACCAACGAGCCATGGAATGTGGTTTATTTGATGTCCAAATGGAAACAAACTACAGATGCAAAACAAAGTTAAAGCTGATTTGAACAGACCTGTTACAGATAAATGGAAACAAGATGCTGGAAAATTTAGGTTGAACCATAATGAAAGCTGGGCTCGTCCGGGATTTGAACCCGGGACCTCTCGCACCCAAAGCGAGAATCATACCCCTAGACCAACAAGCCATGGTTGGGTTTTATTTGGTGTGCCAAATGGAAACAAAACTACAGATGCAACAATGGAAAATTATTTTTGAACCATGGGAAAGCTGGGCTCGTCCGGGATTTGAACCCGGGACCTCGCACCCTAAGCGAGAATCATACCCCTAGACCAACGAGCCATGGAACCTGGGTTTTATTTGGTGTGCAAATGGAAACAAAACTAAGATGCAACAATGGAAAATTTAGGTGTTGAACCATAATTAAAGCTGGATTCCAGGATTTGAACCCGGGACCTCTCGCACAAGCAAGAATGGCCAAACAAAACTACAGATGCAACCCGGCTCATCCTGGATTTGAACCTGGGACCTCTCACACCCAAAGCGAGAATCATACCCCTAGACCAACGCGCCAGTTGGTTTCATTTGGTGTCCAAAGTGGAAACAAAATTACAGATGCAGCAAGAGTGGAAAATGTTGTTGAACCATGATTAAAGCTGGGCTCTTCCAGGATTTGAACCATGGACCTCCCGCACCCAAATCAAGAATCATACCCCTAGACAATTTATTTGGTGTACCAAATGGAAACAAAACAACACATGCATGGAAAATATAGGTGTTGAACCATAATTAAAGCTGAGGATTTGAACCCGGGACCTCTCGCACCCTAAGCGAAAATCATACCCCTAGACCAACAAGCCATGGAATGTGGGGTTTATTTGGTGTGCCAAATGGAAACAAAACTACAGATGCAAAACATATGGAAAATATAGGTGTTGAACCATAATTAAAGCTGGGCTCGTCCGGGATTTGAACCCGGGACCTCTCGCACCCTAAGCGAGAATCATACCCCTAAACCAACGAGCCATGGAATGTGGGTTTTATTTGGTGTGCCAAATGGAAACAAAACTACAGATGCAAAACACATGGAAAATATAGGTGTTGAACCATAATGAAAGCTGGGCTCGTCCGGGATTTGAACCCGGGACCTCTCGCACCCTAAGCGAGAATCATACCCCTAGACCAACGAGCCATGGAATGTGGGTTTTATTTGGTGTGCCAAATGGAAACAAAACTACAGATGCAAAACACATGGAAAATATAGGTGTTGAACCATAATGAAAGCTGGGCTCGTCTAGGATTTGAACCCGGGACCTCTCGCACCCTAAGCGAGAATCATACCCCTAGACCAACGAGCCTTTGAACCTTGGTTTTATTTGGTGTGCAAAGTGTAAACAAAACTACAGATGCAACAAGGCTGGAAAATTTAGTTGTTGAACCATAATGAAAGCTGGGCTCATCCGGGATTTGAACCCAGGACCTCTCGCACCCAAAGCGAGAATCATACCCCTAAACCAACGAGCCATGGAATGTGGGTTTTATTTGGTGGAAACAAAACTACAGATGCAAAGCACATGGAAAATATAGTGTTGAACCATAAATGATCCGGGAATTAAACCTGGGACTTCTGGCACCCTTAAGCGAGAAGCATACCCCTAGACCAACAATCCATGGAACATTGGATTTGTTTGGTCTGCAAAGTGGAAAGAAAACTACAGATGCAACAATGGTGGAAAATTTAGGTGTTGAACCTTAATTAAAGCTGGGCTCATCCAGGATTTGAACCCAGGACCTCTCGCACCCAAAGCAAGAATCATACTACTAGCCATGGTGCTTGGTTTTGTTTGGTGTGCAATGTGGAACCAAAACTACAGATGCAAAACACATGGGAAAATTTAACCATTGAAAGCTGGGCTCGTCCGGGATTTGAACCCGAACCTCTCACACCCGAAGCGAGAATCATACCCCTAGACCAACTAGCCAGGAAAAGTGGTTTTATTTGGTGTGCAAAGTGGAAAGAAAACTACAGATGCAACAAGGGTGGAAAATTTTGGTGTTGAACCATAATTAAAGCTGGGTTCTTCCAGAATTTGAACTCGGGACCTCTCGCACCCAAAGCAAGAATCATACTACTTGCCATGGTGCTTGGGTTTTGTTTGGTGTGCAATGTGGAACCAAAACTACAGATGTAACAGGTGTGGAAAAATTAACCATAGTTAAAGCTGGGCTCGTCCGTGATTTGAACCCGAGACCTCTCGCACCCGAAGCAAGAAACCATAACCCTTGACAAACGAGCCATGGTGTCTGGGTTTTATTTGGTGTGCCAAATGGAAAGAAAACTACAGATGCAACAATGTTGGAAAATTTAGTTGAACCATTATGAAAGCTGGGCTCGTCCGGGATTTGAACCCGGGACCTCTCGCACCCGAAGCAAGAATCATACCCCTAGACCAACGAGCCATGGAATGTCGGTTTTATTTGGTGTGCAAAGTGAAAACAAAACTAAAGAGGCAACAAGAGTGGAACATTTAGGTGTTGAACCATAAGGAAAGCTGGGCTCGTCCGGGATTTGAACCCGAGACCTTTCGCACCCGAAGCAAAAATCAGACCCCTAGACCAACGAGCTATGGAACAACGGTTTTCTTTTGGTGTGCAAAGTGGAAACAAAACTAGAGATGCAAAACACATGGAAAATATAGGTGTTGAACCATAATGAAAGCTGTGCTCGTCCGGGATTTGAACCCAAGACCTTTGGCACCTGAAGCAAAAATCATACCCCTAGACAACGAGCTATGGAACAACGATTTTCTTTTGGTGTGCAAAGTGGAAACAAAACTAGAGATGCAACAAAGTTGGAAAATTTAGGTGTTGAACCATAATTAAAGCTGGACACTTCCAGGATTTGAACCCGGGACCTCTCGCACCCGAAGCAAAAATGATACCACTAGCCATGGTGCCTGGGTTTTGTTTGGTGTGCAATGTGGAAACAAAACTACTGATGCAACCGATGTGGAAAATTTAACCATAGTTAAAGCTGGGCTCATCCTGGATTTGAACCTGGGACCTCTCACACCCAAAGCGAGAATCATACCCCTAGACCAACGAGCCTTTGAACCTGGGTTTTATTTGGTGTCCAAAGTGTAAACAAAACTACAGATGCAACAAGGTTGGAAAATTTAGTTGTTGAACCATAATGAAAGCTGGGATCATCCGGGATTTGAACCCAGGACCTCTCACACCCAAAGCGAGAATCATACCCCTAAACCAACGAGCCATGGAATGTGGGTTTTATTCGGTGTGCAATGTGGAAACAAAACTACAAATGCAAAAAGGGGTGGAAGATAAAGATGTTGAGCCATAATGAAAGCTGGGCTCGTCCAGGATTTGAACCCGGGACCTCTGGCACCCAAAGCGAGAATCATACCCCTAGTCCAACGAGCCATGGAACATGCAGTTTGTTTGGTGTGCAATGTGGAAACAAAACTACAGATGCAAAAAGGGGTGAAAAATTTAGATGTTGAACCATAATGAAAGCTGGGCTTGTCCGGGATTTGAACCCGGGACCTCTCGCACCCTAAGCGAGAATCATACCCCTGAACCAACGAGCCATGGAATGTGAGTTTTATTCGGTGTGCCAAATGGAAACAAAACTACAGATGCAAAACACATGGAAAATATAGGTGTTGAACCATAATGAAATCTGGGCACGTCCGGAATTTGAACCCGGGACCTCTCGCACCCTAAGCGAGAATCATACCCCTAGACCAACGAGCCATGGAATGTGGTTTTATTTGGTGTGCCAAATGGAAACAAAACTACAGATGCAAAACACATGGAAAATATAGGTGTTGAACCATAATGAAAGCTGGGCTCGTCCGGGATTTGAACCCGGGACCTCTCGCACCCTAAGCGAGAATCATACCCCTAGACCAACGAGCCATGGAATGTGGGTTTTATTTGGTGTGCCATATGGAAACAAAACTACAGATGCAAAACACATGGAAAATATAGGTGTTAAACCATAATGAAAGCTGGGCTCGTCCGGGATTTGAAACCGGGACCTCTCGCACCCTAAGCGAGAATCATACCCCTAGACCAACGAGCCATGGAATGTGGGTTTTATTTGGTGTGCCAAATGGAAACAAAACTACAGATGCAAAACACATGAAAAATATAGGTGTTGAACCATAATGAAAGCTGGGCTCGTCCGGGATTTGAACCCGGGACCTCTCGCACCCTAAGCAAAAATCATACCCCTAGACCAACGAGCTATGGAACAACGATTTTCTTTTGGTGTGCAAAGTGGAAACAAAACTAGAGATGCAACAAAGTTGGAAAATTTAGGTGTTGAACCATAATTAAAGCTGGGCTCGTCCGGGACTTGAACCCGGGACCTCTCGCACCCGAAGCAAGAATCATACCCCTAGACCAACGAGCCATGGAACATGGGTTTTTTTTTGTGTGCAATGTGGAAACAAAACTACTGATGCAAAACACATGGAAAATATAGGTGTTGAACCAAAATTAAAGGTGGGCTCGTCCAGGATTTGAACCCAGGACCTCTCACACCCAAAGCGAGAATCATACCCCTAG